AGTATACAATTCATAAATAAAGAATAATATCAAATTCACTAGATAAATTAAGGATCAACTTAATAACAATATTGATTTGTCATTTTATTATTAATATTATTTATAAGTTAATGGCTGATTTTTAATGAATAAATAGTAAAAACAAGAATCAATAAATGAATATGCCCATATTCTGTAACCACAACAAATCTTTTAGGTGGTCAAATGGCACATCAAGACTTTATTGATAAAGAATGAGCTATTAAGGCTAAGCTCTATTTGCCAAGAAAAGAAGCAATGGATAAGTAAAATTGAGAATCAAGAATCTTAGCACTCCATACCAAGAGCCGTTTCCACATCCGCAAACTAGAGAGAGGCCTCCTTCCTTTTCCTTCTAACTTTTCTCATATGTCTCTCTAGCAGCTTATTTAACATACCACACACTCTATTGCTAATATAGAATCTCAATGTTGGCATTTTTCCTATGCCCCACCCATATCCTTGGAAATCCATCACCACCTTGTCTCCCTAGAAAATTTGTCCGCCACCTCTAAGAAGTCCATTGCTGTGACTTGATCCTTGAAGCCACCAATGTTTCACCCTTTGTCACCTAGTGATTTTAAACCAGTGTTATGGGAAAAAAGGTCATGCAATGAGGTATTGCATCCTCCACATGAGAATATATTATTAGGCCACTAACTATGTATATGCAATTGGTTAAATTAGGTCCATCTCTTACATTGAAAATTTATAATTATGAAGATGTTTAAAATTAGGTCCATCTCTTACATTGAAAATTTATAATTATGAGCATGTTTATAATTTATAAACACAAAATGCTAATGGTAAAAGATCCTAGAATATCCAAGTATATTTTCAATATATCCACTAATACTTGAATTAAAGAAATATAAACACCCTAAAACCAAGATTTTTGGGGCAAATGAATGTTTTTATCTCTCTAGTTACTAGAATCTGCTCAATATTTGCAATCCAACTAGACTTGAACCTTAAACATTTATTTACAGGATTTAAACACCTTTTATATATTCATATGTATAAAACATGAGTGTGACTAGATTATTTTCCAAGTATCTTATAAAAATAGCTTGGAGCACAGCAAAATATTCCACTCCTAAAAACTTTCTACTAAGAGTATTCACCACAAATTTTTGAAAAAATAAAATATATTGTATCGAATGATGTATATCCTGTTACAAAATATATTTTACTCATATGACTATATATATAGTACTTACAGATCTTTTCACGGGGCAAGAAAACTAACTGGTCTGGCTCACTTCATTAAGTCTATTTGGCAAGTGCTCCCGTGGCCAGGTATTTGGAATGCTTTCAATTCTTTTTGCTGCAGATGGTCGAGTAAGCAGTGGCTGTATGCTGCCTCCAATACATGAA